GACGACAATAATTTTGAAGTTTTAAAATTACCTGAAAGTATAACAATTACAAAAAAAAAACTGTCTATATAAAAGCATTGTCATCAGTGAACATAAATAGATTTTTTCCTGTTCCAAACTGAACTATATATTCCTAAAATACAAACCAAAATTAAACCGTATGAACGGCGACGACAGAGTATATCATATGCACAGAAGTTTACAAATGTTCAGATCTCATCAATCCACAAACAAGAAACAAATCGAGATAACACATATTTAAAGAATTGCATGAAAGTAGCGAAACTAGATTTGTCGACACGGTAAGCGTACTATTATGTAATTACATCACCTGCAATGCCAAACCACACTCAGTCATCATGTCACAATCGGGAAAGGTAACACAGTCGGTAAATTTACAGATCAGATGACAATTCTGATATCCAATTATCTAAGACCGCAAAACACAAATTGAAAGTGAGTTGAGAAACAGAAACATCTTATCGGTCAACCAATTTGTGATGTTGACCGTAAAACTGCTTTAGTTTCGATTTCAGTAATTGTCGTCATAACTTATTAATTGAAATATGTGTACGATAAACGATAGACCAGAAAGCATGTTGCTGCCGAGAAATAAAAAAAATGACAATTGGAAAGTTGAAACCATTACGTTTGTGATAGATAAGTGGTTGAGTCGTCAATTTGGTACAATATCGATGAAAAGGTCCAAGTATGAAGCAGACTATCTTTTAGTATCCTAAATCTCAAGGTCACTGGGATAAACAAGATGCAAGCTCTTAATGTAATGTGGGTTATTGGTTGAAAGGACAGTATCAATATATTTGAAAGTAATTTAAAGAATTTGCCAAGATGCTTTTTCTTTTTGTCTTTGAGAAGGTTTTGTATGAACTCTGCTTAACAAAACTTTAAGTCCAAAATCAAATCGACCAGTAGGGATGCATAGTTATGACTAATTGGAATACTAACTGTCTGTGTAAACAAAAATCAATCAATCTTAACAAATATGTTGTCGGTCAAAAAGCCAGCATTTTTTTATGCATCGTTTTCTGTGTATTTTTTTTTTGGAATTGTGGTTCTTCACAAAAAATGTTCTTCGTAACCGAATACATGACATTTATATCTTCCGTTTATTGCATTACATACAGAGTAAATGATTGTCCCGCACGGCTTGTATACCTACAATGCAAATCAAGGCTCTGCTGAAATGCCGAATAGACACAATCGGTAAACGTTAAATTCACACGACGTTTCTAGTATCTTATGATGACAGACACTGATAATATGTCTCTTGTAATTTAACATCGTATGTTTTCATTTTTGGAATATGTGCGTTCCTGATGACCGTAAATTCAGAGAAGCGCTTTGTACGAAACTAATTTATAAAGAGTTATTTTCATTTTTCTAGCACTGGCTTGATACCGCTACTGATGGACTGTTAGTACCCGACGGTACCATCAGCTCAGTCGTCGGTGCATTGGGACTGACATGATTTATAACATATTTTACTTTATGATGCAGGCCTTCTTGTTTTATCAGTATCTTTAATCTGAATTTTACTCGGATAAATGAGATACAAACACTCACTGAAATAAACTTTTTTCAGTGACATGACATATTCAAACAAATTTTTTTTACAACATCGACGAACAGCTTATGGTTCTTCAGACAGTTATAGTTGTTGAGACTTAAAACAAGAAATGAAATGTGTTACTGCAATTCCTTTATTTGTTCAAAAGGCACTGATTGGTAATAGAGTATAGTCAATTTTCCAGTTGAACATGATAACTCATAGTGTAGATTGTAAATAAAATTTTAGTATAGCTATCGTTGTAAAATTGACGAATTTGGAATATATATATTTCAAATTTAACAGAATCTTAATCAGACTGACATCGTTTGTTGAGTTATCCTCATCCCAATAATGTTAAATGTTATTTCCACTTTTAGAAAGAATTGTGTGAAGAATTTTGGAAAGATGTTAAAAAACACCTGTTATATAACATTATGTTACGTTTTGTGTGTGTAGTTTTCTAGATTTGCATATTATATTAAAATTGGATGTTTTAGTAAATGGGAAAGGCAATAAAAAGTAAAATAACAAAAAAACTTCAAGGAAAATTCAAAACGGAAAGTCCTTTAACAAATGGCAAAATCGAAATCTCAAACACATCAAACGAATGGAAAACAACTGTCATATTCCTGTCTTGGTAAAGGCATTTCCTTATGTAGAAAATGGTCATTCTTACATTTTGTCATATTTCCAAATCAATCTCTCCAAGAACTTACTATTTTTGTTTATATTTAAGAACTGCATTTTGCCATATGTACGAATATTTACTTTAATATTGGCTGGATGTAAGGCGAACCATGAATTTAATGTGGCAGTGTTTACTTCAGATTGAAAGTATAGACATAGTCGAAGTTAGCTAATCAAATTATGACCAGAAATTGTTTAGTAGCAATAAAAACGTTAAAAGTAATATTATGGTGGTAAAAATCATCGGTTACCAGCCTTATGTTTCTCTCATTGTCTTGCAGTATCGAATCATTTAAGTGCACAAAATAACACGATACTAAAGATAATAAGCGGGGAACCCTTTCATTTAATCTCATCTATATCAATTTAAGTTTGAGATATGATTTAATCTGAAAAACCCAAATTAATTTATTTCCTTTAGTATCATATATTTTCTAACCAGTATACGAAGCATTGATTTTTATACTTACACCAGGTTTGTATGCAGCAATAAAATATGAAATATGCCAATATTCATAATTTTAAGGATTTTGCATACGCTAGGTTCGTATGAGTTCATGGACAACAAAATAAATATATACTAAAAATCGAAACTTCCTTTTATTCAAATGAATGTTACTCTTAACGTCTTTTTGGTGTATTTTGTATTGTATTATTGTAACATCAATAAACCCAGCGTTTAGTGTGATTTTGGATTTTGGGCATAAAATCTCTTTTATGTATTCAGAGAACCTGTTCATTTATTATTCAATCTGCCACCTAATTGTTATGATCTACTATTACAACAGAACGGCAGTTCCATAAATGTTTTATAATCTAATATATATTGTTTGCGACGTATTTGAACTGATGTCTCAAAATCGATCAAATGGTGCTATGAACGACATTTGTACATAGTCCAGCTAAGGGTTTATTGTTAAACTAGACTCATATAACATAATTAACATGCACACGAATAACTAAAACATTCACACATTTGTCATGGAAAAACAACATAAGTTCACATGAATCGTCACATGGACTTTGATCATTTTACATTACATAAAAGGAAATAGGAAAAGCATTATATTGATATTGTAATTATGTTTGTTTATACTTTACCATGAATGTATCATCACACTATACGACAGTGTCGACGAGTACTGATATAACGAGTACACAAAAAATGGTATCATCATATAATTTGTAATTAACCTTTACTGTTTAGTCTATCTTTGGGAATATACTTTTGGCGTGGCTAGTTATTTATACATCCTGTCATTGTGTTATTGTGCTATGGCCATTTCTGTATTCTTCTCTTTAATTTTTGCGTATGTAATTTGTCTATAGAGTATTTTTATGCAATTATGTTTTTCTTTGTGAAATATTTATTTGTTTTTATAGTGATTAAAATTATAACAAAATGTTGACTGGTGTACCCCGATTTTTGACATTTTCATCTATAATGTCTGTTTGTTTTGTTCATACATTGGTGTCAATATAATGGAATTCTGTATGACTGTCATACGAGTGAGAGGTTTAGATACCTTTAAACCCAGGTTTAATCCATCATTTTCTACACGGGGAAAAGCCTGTATCGTGTAGGGAGTGTGACGGTTGTTTTCCATTCGTTTGATGTGTTTGAGCTTTCGATTTTACTATTTTATGAGGGACTTTCGGTTTTGAATTTTCCTTGGAGTTTGGTATTTTTGTAATTTTGCATTTTTGAAATAAACTAAAGTCCTGTTGTGGAGTGTGTCATTAGATATGTATCATGACTGGATAATTTCATGTTAACAATACCGCTACTACAGTATCTCATCCTCAACTTATTCTACCTCTAGCACAATCACTACTGTCACTGGTAATACTTATACGAATGATAATTTGATATAAGACATATTGATATATGTTGCCGGCTACCAATATTGCTTTTGATGTGATTTTATAAATAATAGTCGTCGACATATTTATCTGATGATTATATTAAAACAGCCATTTTATAAGAATTTTTTTTTTATAAGAATTGTTTTTATAAGAATAAATTAACTAAAATAGAAATAATTATATTTGTCAGCAATATGTTAAATGCAACATAGGTGAATCGCTTCTGCGGAGTTCAATCAATTAAGTGACAAGGAATACTGGGGTGTGAACTTATATGAGCAACACGACCGTCGCCACATGTGAAGCATAATCTGCTTACCCTTTCGGAGCATCTGCGATCATCCCCGGTTTTTTTTTTTTTTGGGGGGGGGGTTCGTGTATCTCAGTCTTTAGCTTATTATGTTGTGTTCCGTATACGGTTGTTTGTCATTTGGTACTTTGGTCAAAATATGCTGAAATATAATCGAAAAAAGATGTTCTGCAATACGGCTCATATGTGCATACTATCACACCTCCTCTGAAATAGGAATCTGTTTTTGTCTGTTTTGTCTGCTATCAAATTGGTAGCTGTTCCTTTAAAAAGAAAAGGAAAATTAAGATATTTATATTTTCCTTTAAAAATATTGCATTCTATTTAAATTAACAAAAATAGTAACTCAGTGATTGTTTTCATAAATAATCCCTTTCGTAGTTCTGAAAAAAAAACCTGTGTTTATGAAATTAAGCAAAACGTATATTAAAAACAAAATGAGGAAAATAAAATACAACGGAAGACAACATGATTGTTTGTATTTTTTAACAATGCAATAATACAATGAGGAAATAATAATTGATTTAATTCGTCATATATATCGTCATTGATCCGTACAAATATGCGAGTAGTTCTATGGGACGGATAGTAGAATAAGCATATGTAAAATAACAACAATGGAGAAATGTTTCAGGTCTACAACTAAACTCGTTGTGCTTCTTACTTATGCTTATGTTGAGACGATCATGTGTATAACAATGAAGAGAACAGATCCAAATGTGTGTCCAAGAACAGTCAAGTAGGTACCATAAGGAATGTTAAGCAATTGGAATCAAAGAGGTTCTATTTAAATGCATTATTAGTCACAATCAAATATATCGCCTCTGCTAAAAAGTAATAATGCATCGCGGATCCTGTTATCGAAACTGGTTGATATACTGATTTCAGTGCGAATGAAACGTATGTCTTAAATAATCATCATCAGAAACTGTTTTCACAAAAAAACCTTACAATCAAAATTATCGGAACTTGCACTGAAATGTTAATGACTGACATTTTTTTCTCATAAGATGATTCGTACAAAAAGTCGTAGGTACTATAGAAAGCAAATTTTTGAGATGTTAAAATAAATGCCAAATTAGATATCTAAAAATACCAATAAGAACAACCAAGCTTGTTTAAGGTGAACTTTCCAATAGGGAGTCAATGTTGTTTCCATAATTTTGTACTAATGATAATAATGAATTAAAATTTTAAAAATTAGAACAATAATTCAGTTCATGTCAAAAGAAAAAAAAAAACAAGTGTATATTCTCTACTTTCACAATACATTCGAAGACTGTCAATCCAACATTATCTTCACCAAAGCAAAGATAGTAAAACAACGAATGATTTCAATTTGTGTTTTGAAAATCTGTTATTTTAACATCTAATTGTATTCAGATGTTATTATTGTTTTGTATAATATTTTATTTGGAAGAGGTTATAATGTGCAGTAGGTTAAGACACAAAATCCAAACAGACACTTACGTGTAACAAAACTCAAAACAGAGGATAAGCGCTTTGATATAAAAACAAGGAGATGTGGTATGATTGACAATGAGACAACTATCAACCCAATATTAAATGAAGTGGATGTACGCTATCATAGGCAACCGTACGGCCTCCAACAATGAGACAAACCCAATGCTTTAATGTATGTTCTCAAAGACACAGACATACATTCGCCACTTTGCAAAAGCATGCACCTCAGTGTTCTTTATAGATGGCCCAAAGATTCAGCTTTATCGAATATTTTACTAGTTATCGAAAACGCTACATCTACACATTGTATGACACAGACGAGGAGTAATACTAACAAATTACAAACTATACAAATCAGGCAGATACCAAAGTGAGATTTTTCACTTATAAGTCAAAAAGTGGTCGACAAAATCATGGCTAAACCTACAAATGACGATAAAACAAACAACAGTCTACAAATCACTTTATACAAAAGGTAAAACTGAGCATCACGGATCCTTCCAAAAACCTGATATGGCTAAACTAACGAGTAATATAATCTAACAATATACATGATATATATGATATAGATGTGTTTGATACTGAGGTTAACCTATATAACTTACAATGTTCACATTAAATTTTCATAGAACAATAACAAATTCCTGGCGAGGTATTGCTTTTTTTTTTTAGAATTTTACCATACAATAGTAAATTTCATTGACTTTAAAGTGTATTTCACGCTATCTATTTCCGTTTTGTTCGATATAAACTTATCTTGTGCGTTTTTGACAGGAACGAATTCCATATATTTTCTTTCGTTTTTTCTGCTTTGAAATCAACTATTTATACTGTTATTTATGTGTAGATTGCTTTTTGTGGGAATATTTACACGGTACATCAGTTGTTTTGCCCTACAGCCGTAATATAATTACCCTTTACGAATAAGGTTTATATTTCGACTCTTTGTTTGTTTTTGACTTACAACTGTTTGTTCATGTTATTATCTTACTGTGGTCATAAACTGTAGGTTCTTGTGGGTCTATTTAGTGAGATTATTATTTTTCATATTTTTATGTTCTCCTAATCGGGATTGATGAACATCCGTTTGTCGATCAGTTTGAAATAAGAAAATCTTTTTCACTTAAATATCTCGTCAGCAGAAACATTTTGGTATCCTATGAAATTTCTTGTAGTAACATCACTGATGTCCATTCCAGAGAATGATTTTTGGTTATTTGTAAAAGTTGAATGACAGAGGCTGTAATTTCCGTTTCATTCATTTTAATTTTATTCTGTTTTATAAGGTATAAATACTTTTTTTTAAATCAATTTAGTACAATGTTACCGGAGGCCCCATTTGAGTCTTTGATTAACTTCGTCACTTGAACAGATCGTGAAATACTATACATATATGCTTTTGATAACGGGTACATTTTCCTGCAATGTTTGCAATGGATTTGATCTACTGGGTCAGGCAAAAAAAAATTTATTCACAAGCAATTAAACAGGCTTTCCTAACAGTAAGTCTAGTTGGCGAAAAAAAAATCCAGATAGTTAATTGCCTCCACAATTCGAAGATTAGACGTCAAGTATAGAATTAAATTTGTTTTGTTACAATTTTCTCATAATGATATATTGTTTTTGATTTTTTAGCAGCAATACTGGAACCCAAACAAAGCTCATACTAGAGTGTTGTCCCGATTATATTTACAAGAATGGAAAATGTCAAGGTATGTTTGTCTTGTAGCATAATCATGTTGGTAAATAAGTTTTTGAATCTTTTATGTTTAGTTGATCAAATACAGTAGTTAATGTTTTTTTTTATTAAAAAAACGTCTGACAACTTCTCTTGTCTTAAGGAAGGACTATCTAAATGCAAAACAATCTTCTTTTAGAATTCCTGGTGATAATCATTCACTTAAAATATATATCATAGAAAGTGATGTGTTTTTTTCGTGTTCATTAAATTTTATTTTGCTTGTTATTGTCTTAGTGTGTATGTGTGCTTGTTGTATTAAAGGAATTTCCCTTTCCATTTGTATGTAACATCGTTTGTACTGTTGATAATCTACTTTTCAGCATGTCCAGCAGGAAAATTTGGAAAAAATTGCTTGCAGCCATGTCTGTCTAATTATCATGGGGTGCAGTGCAAAAAACTATGTAACTGTACAGATAATAAGAAATGTGACCCAGTTCATGGATGTGTTTGTGATACAGGGTATACCGGATTCAACTGCTCAAATGGTAATTAAATAATTGTCATTCATGATTTACATTTCCCTGACTATGCATAGCAGTAGTTATCAATATAGTATACTTGTACAACCATCTTAATGTTTCTGGAAACAGATGTGGAATGTATATCGAAACTGCTAGTTACATATTTGTAAATGAATTCGTTCTATAGAACTGAATTTTGCTTAAGCATCCTTATTTATTAGATATTTCGTAAGATATTTCCTGTACTCCGTACGTATTAGCGGATTTCCGTTCCATGATCTCTATATCAAATTTAGTCAATATATTGAAATAGTAAAATCAGCATAAAATGAATCATTGGTAAATGTTATATATTTGAATTACACACTGTGATGATTAGTTTAGGTCGTAAGTAACGTTCATTCATGAAAATTTATGTTTACTTCGTTAGATGAAAAAAATCTCTGTTTTGTATTTTGTGAGTACACGGATTATTGATACCAAAAAACATAGATTTCGTCTTAGAATCTCAGAACTTGTCATATACTTTGCTGAGACAACATTTTTATCTACCTAATCGAAATTCATTGCACATTATCAGCACCTCAAATTCTTACAAAATGTCTATTACAGTTTTTTTTTATAAAGTTGTTGCCTTAGCTAATTGTTCTATCTAAGTGATATGGAAACTCGCTATTTTATCTGGTATTTTCTTTGCTTGTGTACAGCATAGTATCGACTAACATTTGTTTTATTTCCATTAAAGCATGTCCATCTGGAAAATACGGTGTGACCTGCAGTGAAGAATGTTTCTGTGCACATAATGCTGAGTGTGATCCTGTAACAGGAGGATGTTTATGTTCTGCAGGATGGTTTGGGCCCCTTTGCACCAAGGGTAAATAATCATTTTGTGTGTTTCCATGTTCTTTGATTGTTTTATTCATTGCAGATCATGTTGACTGGCTCGCTGAGCAACCTTTGAAATTAATTTTAGTCTGGGATACTTTATTTGTTGGTTTGGGACTAGCCTTTATTATCTGCGAGTACTCTAAGATCGGTTATGTTTTATATTTTGCTCTTTTTTGTGCTTTTTGTCGATCTGATGATTTAAGTAAGCCCTTATCAACTGTTTTTGTTTATAATAGCGTATTCATATGTAGAACTGTTTAACCACTGTCCCTAATAAGGAGAGGGCTGAGTGCTTGCAAACATATATGTAGGACTCTAAAGTGCGATGGGGACGCTAAAGTGCGATGGTCACGCTAAAGTGCGATGGTCTGCGCTAAAGTGCGATGCCTCCATACGCTAAAGTCCGATGGTCCGCGAAAGTATAGACGTAAGAAACGTAGTTGGATTATGACGTTATCAGTCGTTTATACAAAACCAAAAATTTACATGCCAGATGATAAATTAAGAATATTTGATTAATATCTTTTAAACCAAATGTCCATGACTTAATTAATTTAAATCTAACCGTGCTTTGTCGGCTGAAGCAAATGTGTTTTTTTTTTTCAGTGCTGGAAGAAGGACTTGTATCCTGCAGTCGATCATTATACTATATAGATACAAAAGAGTATACGCATAGGTATCCTGTATCCTACTTCTATTGGAAGCGAACGGATACATTTAAATCATTGTTTATGTAACTTGCAGTTTACTTTGCGGTCCCAGTTAAAATATTGTCGATTTTATTGAAAAGTAACGTCGGTAAAATTAAAGGTATATGTTTTCATGCGTAAATTATAAGTTGTCGGCTAAAACATTAGTTTGTACATTGCAGGAAAATATAACATGTATTTGTACTAGCTACGAAAAAGGAGAAAGCTCGGAGAACATCGCCTTTCTCTCTCATTTAAATTAAACCTTAAACAAATAAATGTTACATATTCCGACAATGAATGAATTTTGTATTTGTAATTTACCATGACGAATGTAAGGGAGGTGTTCACATTAGTGATAGACTGTGTGAACGGCAAGCTACACCAATTATCCAAATATTAAATACGACCGAATTGTAAAAAAAATTATTTACAGGAAATATACTAGTAGTATCTGGTGACACCTAAATTACCTTTTTAGCAATTATTACGTGGTCTGTCTTCTAAATTTAGAAACAATCGCTTAAGCCTACCGGTAAATTATAAAGCCTATCACATATGTTATACCTTAGCATACTATCTTTGCAAACAGACTATTTTTTAACATCCATGTGCTTTAACGTTTTAAGCCCTCTAACCTTACTCTTTTTGTCCATCGCATTTTAGCGTGCTATACCATCGTACTTTAGCAAACTAGCAATCATCGCACTTTAGCGTGAGACAACATCGTACTTTAGCGTAGACCATCGCACTTTAGCGTGGCCATCGCACTTTAGAGTACCATCGCACTTTAGAGTCCTACATATATAACCCCGACACATGTTTTTGTGCCTGACCTTAAGTGTGCAGCTTTTAATTCAGTGGTTGTTGTTGGTTGTTGTATATTATATTTGTGCTTCGTTCGTTGTTTTGTACATACATTAGGCCTTTGGTTTTGTGGTTTAAAATGGTTTTTTGTCAAGTCGGAGCCTTTTATAGCCAACCAAACGGTTTATATTTTTCTCGTTGTTGAAGGCCGTACGTTGACTTTTTGTTGCTTACATCTACGTCATTTGGTCTCTGTCAGATAGTTGTCTCATTAAAAATAGCGCTACATCTTTTAAATTTTATATTGGATACATGTAAAGATTTATCGACAGATTAATATATATAGATAACAGCAAAAATTAATTTGGTATTCATTATATAATTATAGTTCGTTAATATGCCCTTATAATCACTAAACTAAAAGTCAATTTGAAATAAATTAGCGCGTCACGATTTTTTGCAGAATGTACACTGGGAACATTTGGAAAGAACTGTAGTGGGATTTGTGACTGTCCAGATGGTTCACAGTGTGAAATTATAACAGGAAATTGCATTTCACTTAAAGGTATTTTGATATATTAAAGTTTAAGCTGTGGTAAATGATTTTAGGAGTAAAACTTAAAACATTGGAAAATGTAAATAATGCTATTAAGAGTGAAACAGGAGTTGTAACAGGCAAACCGGTGATAGGGGCCGTCTTAAACTTACAGTGAGGTGAGATTTATTTTTGCTGCGTGTTGAAGGACTCACTGTGAATTTGAGATCAAGAACTGCAATACAAGTGCTGTTCCTTTACTTTTTGTGTATTTTTTGTAGATGTACCGATTTTGTTTCATGGACGGATACCCAATATCCTTTGTTTTTATATTAAAGTGTTTATGATTATAAATAGTTAACAAATGTTGATAAACGAACGATCAGCAAGTTAAAACCGGGGGTGCAATCAGGTGTCTAAAGATTTTCAGTGTTTGTATTGTCTCTATCACAAGACTATTACAGGGGAAGACAATATTAGTAACATAGTGTGCTAGTGACCTAATACGATATATATGGGGTCAGCAAAGCTCGAATCCCCATAAGGAATTTACTGACCCCATATATATCGTATTAGGTCACTAGCACACTATGTAACGAATTTATCTTACCGACTATCTTAACATGTAGTATTTAGAATAGTGGCCTATCAAAGTGACCAAGTCTTCTATACCGTTAGTATTAAGAACCTACTGCCATTGATCTATAAAAAAACAAATGCCAACAATAACAACTTGTTAGCTTTAAATGTGTTTTATGAATTTATTTCAATCGTTCATCATCAATTTCTTCGTCTGTTGATATCTTTAAGATTTTTCCTCAACACCGTGTTGTTTTTATAAAGGGAAGTAACACCACTACTAACCGTGTATTGAAATAAGCCCCGCCTACTGACCCAATATCGAACCCTACTAACCCAATATGGAATATACACGGTCTCCACGCGGTTGCTTTTAACCAATCACATTCCTAGAAATGTATAAGAGATATGATAATATAAAATCTGCAAATTCAAGAAGCACAACATATATACTTACGATATCGCTGTCTTTCGTCAAGGAAAACAAGTTTTTAAGTCTTCTTTTTAACGTTTTGACCTTTGTTTTGCGTAATGTTCGATTGCATCCATTAGTAATTGAAGTCGTGAGTTTTTATGTTCCTGACTTACGGTTTTCGGTCCGTGTGCTTTATTTATTACACTTCGTAAAGATAGCTTTTGACAACGTCAAGAACTCCAGTAAAAATGTAGTTATCTTTGATTAACAAAACGAAATATACATTGATAAAGTTACGACTCATGTCTGATAATCAACAATAAGAACATAATTAAGTATGGTTCGATAGGCAATGTAATAACCAACCCAATAACCAACCCTATAGACTATATAAAATGACATAGATCATCATCAGGGTAAGACACTACTTTCAGAAAGACAATAATATAAAGGTCCAATCATGGAAAGTGGCAAAGACACATGCAGGTTACAATTTCACAAAACAAATATATCAAAATACATACGAGATCCTATTTGTTCAAAGAATAATATACCTATGGGAAGTAAATTGGGAACTAGGGGCCACTTTATTGCGAGCTAATGTATATCTTTTCACACGGGTATTAGTTAAATAATGAATTGTCTTTGAGGGTAGGGCAAAGGAGATTGTCATTGACAAATCAAGGTACTGATGCTGATAAACACTCACACATATACACGTAGATCGTATAAGTAGAAGTTTTTTATGTTTCTTATTCAGTATTTGATTTCATATTAAAGACATCCATACAGGTTTTGAATAATGCATATAACATTGATATAGTTAACAAACAACTCTTTTATAGTCCCACTGATTGTTGGAAGCTGAATAAAATAAGTGTTGTTTCAGATGAGATTAAAAACATGAATTCAGAAAAAGACAGTGATAAATCTAATACAGTAATGGTTTATATCGTGATGGCTGCTGCTCTTATTGGTCTGGTCTGTGTTGTAACAATGGTCGTGAAAGTTAAAGAAACATTATGTCGACAGGTACAAAAACCAAGGAAGGACATTTCAAAACCAAAGTTGATACGCCGGAAAGCTAAACGAAGGCGGTCGTCAGTCCAGACACAAGACGCTCAGACTGGATCGTTTATTATAGATTCAGAATTTTCCATGTTTCCACCTCCAATGGAAGAAGATGTTTATTGCGAAATTGGAGACATCAGCACACTAGAACCAGATCGTTATTAATGTCCACATACATATTCAGACGTCATACATTCCAACATGTTTGACAATTTTGTACAATTAATTGATTTTACCACATTAGCTGTCACATGGTAATTCATTAACGTGTGTGTAAACATTACAACTTTGACCTTTTTCTTATTTTCTTTTTTAAATTCTAATAGTTCAAATTGTAAATACAACAATTTTATGCAGAAACTTTATCCGACATATGATTTAAACCAAAGAAATCTTTACATCATCGTCTTGTATTATCAACAATTCTCTGCCCACGGCACCACAAACAAGATGTATCAATTTTTTTTTCAGATCTTGATGTAGGTTGAATTTAAGGAAATTTTAAAAGCGTTCACGGTTAAATTTTATTTCCCATTGATTAGTAATCAGAGGCTTGTAGTGATTAATAACGTATGTAAGGTATTATTTGTTTTATATTTTTTTTTCTTTCTGTTTTCATTGATATTTTGACACTTACTATATTATATATGTTTTTTTATGTTATAGCATTTTCTGTGAGTTAAATGCAGATTTTACTGCTGATTAGACCTTAAAGTCAATCCATGGGCTTAAAGGGAAAAAGCAATCGTCAAAACTGAATGCTTTTTTCACTGAATACCAGGGTTTAGAAAGCCACAATAATGCATTTTTTTAATGCTGGGTTTGTTTCGTCAGTATGGTCAAATGCAATCTCGGTACCAATATTCAGATCTGGTGATGTTAACGATGCATAAAATTTTTGCGGTATTCGATCTAGAATTTCAGCAATCTAGGTAATCGTTTTACAACATTTTTGAATAGAAGATTGTTTAAATGGACAACTTTAAATGATATTTTATCGTATGCACCGTGTGGCTTTCAATATAGTATATTTGATGCTGTTAGTTTATATTCTGTTTTTCAAAAACACTTTGTAAACATAAACAATTTTTATTTTACTGTTTGTTCATTTTTATGGTACAAAATCGCAAAAATCTATGTTTTAAAATATATGTTTAGTAATGTGATATCATGTATTAGATTAAATGCGATGAATCCGGATTACTTTTGTAACAACCTTGGTTTGGTAAAAGGGGTAGTTATTTCTCCTATTTGATACAGAACAAAAAACAGGGCTTATCTTTTAAGTCAAAGAAAACATAAATAGTTGAATTTCTTAAAGTTGGAAAAAAATGACTTAATGAAATATGGGTCTAAAATAAGAAAAAAAAAAATTGAAATGGCTGAAGTTGTTTACAATTTTGTTATTTAGGCGTATTATAACCTTGTAAGGGGTAATATTTTAATACAATAAAACATTATGCAGAACAAGGTAGAAAACTATGTTCAATATACGGAGAACTACTGTACGTTACTTTGGGTACTAATCGGAATTATAAAAACTGTTTTATTGCTATTTAAGTGTGATAGAAAATGAATTTCATGTTGTTCTATAGTGAAGTACATACACTGAGTTGTGTAAAAAAATGTATTTATAAATATTACTGCTCTATGTCATTAACTTTCATGTTGAAAACACATTACAGCGATGAAACCTAGGGATAGGGAAATATATAGACAATAACTGTATAGTGTCTTTAAATATCAGCTGTATGTGTACGAGGCTAGGAAACAGGTGTAATGCGACATCCAGCGAGCTATTACTCCTGTTTCGAGCCGAGTACTCATACAGCTGATATTTAAAGACACTATACAGTTATTGTCTTTATCCTGCAATGAATTTTTTTTCCATCCCAATCGTTGAATTTGTTTTTGAAAGAAATCGACATGACTTAAACGCGGACCGCGATGAGGACCCCAAATTGACCTGTAACGTAAACATTAATTTGACATAACCGTTCGCTCGCAACAGAAGCAGGATACCAGGAGACTGTATCCGTCTAGTATACGTATAACGATTCGTGTTATCTGTACACCTGTATTAGTATAGTAGAGAGGTCGATTGCAGAATAAATACATTTCTCTTTTCAATTCAGACACTTCATTGTAAAGATCTTTTGCAAACATAACACTTCTGATGTCATCTATTGTTATTTATATATATTGCTTAATACTTAAGATTCGAATTTGATAGAGAATAACAATTGTTATAAACTGTTTTGATGAAATGTAAATGAAAGTTATTGAACAAATAAAAAAATGACCACAAAAAAACCACATAAACATTTATTATATAAAAATAAGAAGATGTAGTATGATTTCCAATGAGACAAGTCTCCGTCAGAGACCAAATGACATAAAAAAGTACAACTATGAATAGAAAAATTAGGTAAAACGTAATTTATTTGAACTAATCTTTATTTTTGTTTGACACCTCATCACCGTGAATGATTGAGTTACGGAGTTTTCCAGGATAAAGACATACGAGTGTAATTAAAACAGCAGGAACTGTTGACCCTCCAAGTTTTCGTGGGTTTGTGTTACATATAATAAATGTATATGTGTAAGGTTTTTGAGGACGATTTTTCATAACATTTAGCCATGGTGGTGTCTGTTATTCTTCGACAACTGACTTTTGATTAGCCCTTAGAAAATTTCACCCGTTTGATTACACGATATGAGCAACATACAAAGTTTACATGTTAACAAAATGATGTAAATACGTTTGCTTTTTGGTTAAGAAAACAGTTAAAGTTACAGTTAAAGCCCGGTTAGAAATATAGTAGAACTCAAAATGCATGGCACCAAAATATAGTTTCCAAAGTAAACAAATATTTGTAAACATGAACAAAAAGACAAGATACAATCAAAACATGTAATGAATGAAACCGAGTCATATTCGTGTATGTGCTGTAACACCACTGTATGTGCTTGTACCAAATAAGAAGACTGTATATCAGTACATGTGGTTGTCGTTGGTTGCTGTCTCATATTTAGTTTTCGTTTGTTCTTTATCATAAATAAGAACGTTGGTTTTCAAGTTGGATTTGCCTTTTACACCTTTTTATACAGTATGTATTGTTATCATTGATGAAGGCGGTACGGTGACATATAGTTGCTTACATCAATGTCATTTGGTCGCTGGTGGTTACTTGTTCCTTTAGCGGTGATAACACTTGCGTTTATTTCTATATTTAATCTATCAAAATCGTAAACTTATTTTCTATTCACTGTTTCTTCTTCCTGAGAAGTCAATATCATACAACAGACGCATATGTACCAAGAGCCGAATCGTTAAAAATGAGAATGATGCAGTTAACAATATTATATGAAAAATATAGAAATTACATCCTTACAATATTCAAAATATATCATGTTGTGTGAAAAGCAAGATATACCGAATAAAACTCAAAATAACATTTAATGGTAAAAATTTTAATTGATCAGATACGCATTTTGCTGATTTATATCTCTTCTGTGATGCTCCATGCCGAAATGCAACTTTAAACAAACGTTGAAGAGCAGGCATCATCAAAAGAACCTGTGGTGTAACCAAAGCACGACAAGGATTCATAGCTATGCCTGAGGGAAATAGATTTCTTCAATTCAAATAATTTCCTGAGATTTAACACAACAAATTTCAATAAAACAACAGAAGTATTTACATGGCAGTACATTTTTGTACCGATGTACTGAGCAACTGGACTGATTTTACTTCCCTCAGGAACTAACAGTTCACCAACACAACCAGCATAACCGAAGATTTAAAAAGCATGTTAGTAAGATAAAAAAAATTGTTGTACAGTTTGCGTGTTATGAAACCCTTTCAAAAAAGAACATAACATGTGATATAAAACTTTGTTATATTGTTTTCAATTTTCCGGAAAAAGAATCTAGCGGATAAAAGTCATTTACAGACAATTTTATGTTAGGAAGAAGGAAATGTGTTCCAATTCTATTGTCAAAATACAAAAATTAAATGCATAATAAGCGTTTGACCTTTTTACGTTGTTGAGAACCCCGTCATGACCTCAGCATTTAATTCCAAAGCTGACGAATTTCCTTTGTCGTCTTTTCATGTAAATGTGCTTTATGCTACATATTTGACTTCACCAATAAGACATAAACAGAGGTTTTGGAAATCAATGAGTTATTATAAATACTCACGAGGATTAAATGTTGAGTGTTCTTTGGTTGTTTGTACTGTATTCCTGTCGCGTAGTGTTGTCATTATAGCGGTAGTTTTAACATTATCACATAAAAGGAGGTTTGGCTGGCCATAAAACCAGGTTCAACCCACCATTTTTTCTTAAAATGTTTTATACCAAGTCAAGAATATGGCAGTTGTTATCAGATAGTCTGTTTCTATGTATGTTGGCGTTTGCTTTTGTAGTAGTTCAGTTTTTCTTTTGTTTCGTTGTTTTCCTCTTATAGTTGATGTGTTTCCGTCGGTTTTAGTTTGTTACCCGGATTTGGTTTTGCTTAATCGAATTATGACTATTGAACAGCGGTATACTACTGTTGATTATATCTTACTTGAATACAAATGTAAGATAGTGACAATCCCCTTCCTTATCAAATCTTTGTTTTTCCTTTAAGTTTTTTTTTTGTCAGGGATCATTCCTTTCAAGAAAAAAAAAGAGAAAAAACAATTGACAATGAGTCATCAGAGCAAATATGACTCACCATATATTCACAAGTTCTGCATACAAGTGAGGTTGCAATTTGTATTCCGTTTAACATTTAAAAGCGTCCTTCGTCTTACTAACGAAATCAATAGAAAAAACAAAATACAGACTACCCCTATGGGCGTGGTGTAGTAGTTGGTTTTTTGTTTTGTTTTGATGGTCTGTTCTAGCTTAAAGCTACGTCTATGTTCGATATGCGTAATTTAAATATTTTTCTGATGCTTTCCGTGCCATGCGTTATTAGGTACCGATGAGACAGAGCACTTATTACTAAAAACAATAGTAAAAGGCTCATCAGAAACCTGTTTCTTAGCAACATGTGCTGCTATTATTGCAATGATGACTACAAAAATTATCCATTTGTCAGTAAAATAATGGAATTTTATGCGACTGTCATACAAGTGAGAGGTTTAGCTAGCTACAAAACCAGGTTTAATACACCATTTTCTACATAAGGAAATGCCTGTACCAAGTCAGGAATATGACATTTGTTTCCATTTGTTTTATGTGTTTGAGCTTTTGGTTTTTCCGTTTGATAAGGGACTTTCCGTTTTGAATTTTTCTTGGAGTTCGGTATTTTTGTTATTTTACTTTTCCCGAACGGTGCTTAAAAAATCGAACAAAGCTTCACAAAGTTATGGATGTCATGAAATCTTCAACCAAAGACTGTATCTAAATCTAAGATACAAAACCAAAGTCTTGTCAGTAGGAATCAGAAAGATAGAAAAAAAAATTCATATTTACTCTTGATATTGTCTTTTGATAATGACGAAGATGCTGTCCAGAAAAGTTCAACAAATTACAGTTATTGAGGTTTATATATAGATAACTGTGATAATGAAATGTTGTTGTTTTTTCTTCTAAGAAACACCTGGACTATACCAAGTTTCAATGAAATAGGCTTCAAGGCATCAGAAAACAATATTTTATCGTAAAGAAAATGCCCCTTACAGTTTGTTAACATATTTCATTCATTTGGTTTTGCATATCGAAATCATTACATATGTTAATTGGGTTTGTATTGTACCAAAATTTACCCTTTTTTATATGCTTAAACAATTTATTGGTCTGAAATAGCAGAAGACACATAAAAATGTAACTTTCTGTCTTTTTATCGTTACAGTTAAAATGAATGATATTACGTGTGATGCAATGCAAACCTGTTTATAACACGTATAACTTAATCCAATGTTTATACATTCATGTGTTAGAAATAAAAATGAAAATGTATAAAATCCAAGTGTTTCACACCGTACTGGTCATCATACTGTGACATAAGTCTGTCTGTTTATTTTTGTGAATTGTACATTAAACTATTTTGTGTTTTTTTCGAGCCACCATTTGTTCGTTGCTACACTTATATTTATATTTTAAGCACTCTAATCATCACATATATTTATTTTTCTATAAAGTACAGCAAAATAATTTGAATGAGGAGGGTTCCATAATTTTGTATCCTGATTCCAAATTTTTAACGAACCATAACACGATTGTCAGACAAAAGAGAGATAACAAATTTTTTTTTTGTCACAAAATTGTGTATATTTTGATCAATCCTGATACCCTTGTTATATGTTTTACTGCAAGAAAACACTAAAAAAAACGTATAACGTAATGCATATCTAATCTCTAGATGGTTTGTGGCTTTGTTTTGCGTTCATTTATTTGTCTCACGAATCTTATATTGTTTTATTCAGTTTAATTTTGCACTCATTCCGTTTTCTCCTCTACCCTTTCGTTTAAGTTCAATATGAATACTCATAGTTTTAAACAGGTAGCATTAATCATAAATAAACTTAAAAAAAGACTGTATTTCGGGTTTTTTTAATAGCTGACTCTGCGGTATGGGTTTTGCCCCATTTTTGAAGGCTGTACGATGACTTATAGTTGTTAATCTCTATGTAACTTTGTATTTTGTGGAGGGTTGTCTCAATCGCAATCATACAACACCTTCTTATTTAATATGTCTAAACATTAACTGCAAAAGCGTATACATATGCCTATATACAGTGAGGATATTTGGCATTGAGTGTCCATTTATAAGTGTTATTTACTAAATATGGATTTGGGGGTTGTTCAAGCAGCTTGATTAGAGAACTCAATATAAGATAAAGGTAATGGTTGAACATATTGGTATGCCAATCTCTAACATTACATGCAATCTGTCATTACCTCACGAATGTAATATCATTTTATTCTATGTAAGTCTTTATATTGCACTTATTTCATTTTCTTCTCTGCCGTTTACTTTACTTTCAACATGCAAGTTCATTGAGGAAATACCACAAAACATACGCGTACACAATTGTAAATAAAACACAAACGTACATGTTTATATATATGTAGGACTCTAAAGTGTGATGGGGGCGCTAAAGTGCGATGGTCTGCGCTAAAGTGCGATGCGTCCACACGCTAAAGTCCGATGGTCCGCTAAAGTATAGACGTAAGAAACGTGGTTGGATTATGACGTAAACAGTCGTTTATACAAACCAAAAATAAACATTCCTGAAGATAAATTAAGAATATTTGATTAACAACTTTAAAACCAAATGCCCATGACTTAATTAATTTAA